GCTATCAGGCCGCTGAGAGCTGTCTGACCAATGGCTGATTCTGGCTGATTCTGTGGGGGTGGGACTTCCTCCTCCCTGCTGTCAGTTTCCACAGCTGTGATGAGGAAGCTGGGGTGACAGAGGGAGCTGCGCCCTCCAAGCCGCCCTTTCTCTTGCTCTGCTCTATGTCCAGTGGTCTCCTGCTCTGCCAAGTCCTCCAAACCTCCCGCTCTCCGCTGGAAAGGTCCTGGGAGTCTGCGGGCATGGCTAGGTGCAGGTGGCCGTGCCTCCCCGACTGGTGAAAGTCCTGGGAGCCCGCGGGTGTGGCTACGGCCTCACCTCCTGGGGCTGGCGAAAGTCCTGGGAGCCCGAGGCCATGGCCGCCGTCGCCTCCTGGGGTGCTTGACACCTTTGTATGCAAATTAACCGCCATCTTTGGCAGATAATTTGCATAGTCACTCGAATTGGTTGGTGGGCATGGCCGGTGGGCGTGGCTTGAGTGTAGCAGAGGGACGGCTAATTTGCATGTTTCTCTTTTATTATATAGGATAACTCTTTTATAGAACACTAGAGGCCAGATGCACAAAATTCGTGCAAGGGGCTTAGCCCTTGCAGCCGCGTTGGCCCTCGCAGCCCCGACTTTGTCCAGAAGGTTCTCCAGATGGTCGTTCCACTGTTCGGGCATCCAGTCTAATTAGCATATTACGCTTTTATTATTATAGACTTGCTTTCCATTTTGGTAATGTTGGCCTCTCATTTTGAGGACTTTGATCCCAAGAGGGCAGTGTGTCCACCAGATGGCACAGCAAAGGTTCTATTGAATTAAAAGATGTTTCTAATGTTATATTTTAGATGTTTTTGTTTTGTGTATCCCCTAGCTACTTATTGTAGTTATTGGTTTTGCTCCTTTGTCTTTTAATCTCCATATTAGTCTTTTAAGTGTCTGATTCACTGTGTTTATCACATACTAGAGGCCAGTGCACCAATTCGTGCACAGGTGGGGTCTGGCTGGCCAGCCCCAATCAGGGCAGATCAGGGCTGGGCCTGTTGGGAGGAGGAAATGGCGGGAGGTTGGCCAGCTGGCCCATCCCGATCGGGCCTGATCAGGGCTGGGCTGGCTGGGGGGAGGGACCGCGGGCA